TTCTGTGTACAAATTTTCTACTTCAACTAGGTTGGCCGTCTGGTCACACCCATGTGTATTATTTTTGTGTCTGCCTGCTTGCCTTTGCCCAGTCAGTGACTCCTGCCTGGAAAGCCTCCTACTCATCTCTGGCCATCTAAAACCTACTTATTCAAGATCTGGTTCAGGAATTCCACTACAAAGTTTTCTCAGACTGTTACAGATATTTGTGACCTCTGAATGCTTCTAGAAAAACATGATATTCCTTGATTGCATGTAAGACACAGTCATTTTATTCTCCAAATTGCACCATGGGCATGGGCCTTGTCTCTCCTTTACTGAACATCAGTTCTGTGCTGGAAATTTTGCTAGACGGGGGACATCCAAAGGTGAACAGGTTACATAGGGCCCCTCCCCCAAAGAGCTAATGGTCTAAGGGCAGGAAAAAGACAAGTTAAGAGGTAATTCTGGCACAGACTGATGAATGCCATGGTATAGTCCTGGATGTACAAGACTCTATGGGAACAGGCTGGGTCTTAAGGAAGCTTCCTTTAGCTGAGACATGAAATGACTTCTAAGTTTGCCAAGAGGGTGTGGTGAAGGTAAGGAAACTGCTCCAAGAAGAGAGAACGACTTGTGCTGAGGATCCAGAGAGTGCAAGGTTATTGATGAAATGAAGGATGTCTAGTGGGGTTGGGCTTTGGTGGCAGTGGGACAACATGGAGAAAGCAAGCAGAAACTGAGAAACAAGCATGTCTCTGCTCTTGCAGGACCTCTTAAGGCATGCCATGGAGTCTAGGTGGGATTCTAAGAGACATTTGGGAGTAGGGGACTGGAAGGATTTTAAATAGGGGAGTGACATGGTCAGATTCAGGCCTGTGTCACTCCAATAGTCACTAGGCTATTCTGAGGTGAATGGCTTGGAAAGGAGCATAGATGGATTGGGGCTGTGGAGGGGGAGCCTGAAGCCAGGAGATCTTCTCAAGGCTGTTGCAGAGATGGTGGTGGCCTGGTTGGAATCATGGCAGTGCAAGTGGGGAAGAAGAGAGGTAGACACAGAAATACCAACAAGGTTGACAGGTGAGGGGCTGATAATTAATCGGAGGTAGCAGGGCCTAAAGCCCAGTCTCATCAGCTTGTGAGTCTTGGTGGCTTCACCGCATAATGCCTGTCTTGCAGGGTTCTTATGGGGATCAAACAGTACAGAGACAGTATCACATCTCTTACAAATGAGAGTGAGAGGTGGCCAGTGACTTATCCAAGTTCCCTCAGCCAGCACCAGAGCCCGTGCTCTCACTCTCTACCTGCTCTGCACAGCATACGTATCTTGGCCCACATGGCCTTTAATGGAGCCCTGGAAGGAGAGGAAGAAGGAAGGTACTGTCTGTTCTTCCAAACCTACCGCAGACCTTGAGGAAGCCACAATAAATGCTGTGTTTGTTTGATAAAGCGCTTGGCTTTTGGTTTCCATAGCAGGAAGAGCTAGAACAGGTGTGGCAAGACAGGGGAGGGCTGCAGCACTGCAGTGGTAGGTGGGGTGGGACAGAGTCCCACAGCCTGGCAGGGGGCTTCAGGGCTGTGGATTTTGAAGAAATCCTGGGACCTTCTCCCGACCTAGTCATCTCTCTCATGTTCCCAGTCTCCTGCCTGGCTGAATACACCAAAATATCAACAATATTTATGTTAATTAAGGTCCTACCATGTGTCTAGCATTGTGCTAGGTGCTTTTCATATACACAGGCATGTCTTCATTCCATAAGCTAGCGCTGGCCTGCAGTTAGTGCTGTAGACAGAGAAACTCAGCACAGTTCCCCATACCTTGGGAGATGTCCTTCTGGTGGGGAAATCTGAAAAGAAACAAAACAACATCGTGTAGTACGTGCTGTGATGGAGTGAGAATAGGCTGTATGGGAACCCAGAGGATGAGTCAGATAATCCTCAACACAGCCCAGTGCTATTATCATACCCATTTTGTAGATGAGGAAACTGAGGATCAGAGGAGTGAACTGCCCTGTTTTCCTGGTCAGTTTGGTTCTGACTAATTTTCTTCTGCAGGGGGTGATAAGGATCATCTGATTCAACCCCCTTGTTGAAATGATGGGGAAACTGAGACCTAGAAGGGGACGCAATTGCTCAGAGTTGCACAGGAAAAAGAACAGATCTAGAAACCAGTTGACTCCCAGTCCAGGGTTTTCCTTGATACCAAATACCTTTCTTTTCTCCAGCTGTCTGAAGATTTCCTGGGACCCCCTCATGTGGAACCCTCCTTGGCTTATGGTCTATATGTTGAAAATCCTACCACCCCTGTTTAGACCCTAAACTCCAGAAAGGATAAGAAGAAGTTGTTAGGGCAGACCCTGAAGCCAAGTAAGGGTATGTGTGCCTGTTGGAGGGTTGTAGGATAGAGTAGGAGATATCACTACCCACTCCCCCACCCCCCTCAAGAGGCCCCAGGGGAGCCTGGGCTTGGAAGAGACCAGAGAGCTAGGGGATGGTTCAAGGCCCCAGAGCCCTTCCCACTTTACCAGAGGACTGGGTCTGGCTTGGAGGTGCTGGGGTAGGCTAGCTGGCTCTGGGCCTCAGGTTGTCCAGCCTGCTCTCTTGAAGTTGGTGGTAAATGAGTAATCTTCCTCCTCCCTACAGGGCTCTCTGGGACAAAGAAGCCACCTGGTACCCCTCAGTTCTGGCTTGGCCCAGTCTGGCACCCTGGCTTCTCTGGCCAGAAACTATGAAAGTAAAGCCATATGCACCCCCTTGGCCCTCCGTCCACCCCACAAATACCATCCCAGGCAGTTCCAGAAAGCATTTCTCTTCTCAATTCCCTCCCCCTCACCTACTGCTAAGCCTCCTCCTTCTCCGACCCTTCCTCTCACTGAGCCTCCTTCCCTTCGCTGACTCCCTTCACTGAGTCCCCTCCTTTTCACTTGGTCTCCTCCCCTCACTGACTTTCTCCACTGTGCTCCCTTCACCAGACTGAGACCCCTCCCCACTGAGCCCCTCCGCCTTTTCTGAGCCTATATCCCTCTCTGAGCCTACATTCCCTCTCTAGCTTTTCCTAGGACCCATCTTCATCAATCATTCCCCTCACCTTCATATGCAGTCACTCTCCCTGTTTCCTTCCCCCCAGGCTAGAAGAGTTGGAGAGAGTGTAATGGCAATCCCAAACCCTTTCCTAAATCTCACAGAGAATGACCTAAAGCTAGGGTATTCTTACTACTCATAGTAATCTACTTCCTCTTTGGATGGTCATACAGGGTGACATGCAGGGTTCCTTAAGAATTTTGGAAGAGAATTTTGGGGGAGCTAAGTGGAGCATTCTACTAAAAAATCTGGTTGCCACTGGAACCTTTTGCTTTAGCTTTGCTGCAGGCCAAGAAGTTTGAGATACAATAACTTTGAAATAATTTCAAGTCTCCCCCATCCCAAACACCTGTCCCATGACCCTCACTCCCTGTCAAGTTGCTAAGCAAACCTCTTGGACGCAGGGTCTACATGTTCTATTTTTGCTTCTCATCTCCCACTCACTTTTCTGTCCGCTGTGTCTGCCCCCACACCTCTTGCTAAGGCCACCAGTGACTACTTCACTGCTTTTCATCCCACTGCTACCCCTCAGGCCTCATCTTGCCTGACCACTTCTGCAGCCTTGGACACCATGGCCAGTGCCTGCTTTCCTGAAACTTTTTTTCTCTTTTGTTTCTAGACTGACCTCATCTACTTCCCTGGTTTCGGTTTACCACTCCTGACTTCCAGATTTCTGTACACACCCGACCACTTCGCGGACATCTCTGCCCGGAGGTCCCATAGGCTTGCCAAGCTCTGTACACTCAAAACTGAACCCATCATCTTCCCCCGGCAACCTGGTCTCCTATTTTGGTAAATGGCACCACTATCCAATCAGTGGCCTAGGGCGAAAAATTGGTGTTCTCCTAGTTCTTTCCTCTCCTTCACCCCACGTATCCAAATGGTTCTCAAGTCCTGCTCATCTTGCTTAACAGCCCCCATCAGGCCCTGCTTCCAGCCCTGCTGTCCTGTTCCTGCCTTATTTCTGGCTTGCATCGTCTCACACTCGGATGATTATATAACCTCTTAGATGGTCTTGCACCTTCATCAGCCTCCTTGAATCCCAGCTGCGAAGGGGCTGCTGGAGAGGTTATTTTATAACATAACTCTGACCGGGCGATCCCTTCTATGATCCCTATAACACTAGAGAAAGGTTCAAAGTCTGTCATTCCACCCACAAGACTCTCCGTGACTGGGCCCCTGGGCCTCATCGCCACTTCTTCTCTCCTTGCTATCCATCCAGTAATGTTGAATCTCTTTCCTGGCCCTGGGCACAGGCCCCCTTTCCCACTGCCTGAACCTCCTGCACCTTTTCCAAGACACCAGTGCTTCCAAACCTT